AACATTCCATCAGGAAGTTGGGAAATGAATAGGGCAAACTCAAATAAGAAAGGAAATTAAGATAAGGTCAGAAAATGAAACACAAGAAGTTGAGGCATTGACTGTTTAGAATTATTAATATGTTAAGTTTCTGGCAAAACTGATTAAGAAAAAGAGAAGATACACATATATTAAAATGGAAAACTGATAAACTTGTTGCATTCCTTTTAATGGTGTGTCATATTGCAAAGCTGGGGCTTTTTTGTTGCTGTGACAGAAAAGCAAATACATTGTAAAAACTTAACATGGAATAGGAAATAAAGTTGGCAGTATTTTCTAAAGTTAAGAAGTTGAGGGCTGGGGATGTGGCTCAAGGCGTAGCGCGCTCGCCTGGCATGCGTGCGGCCCGGGTTCGATCCTCAGCACCACATACAAACAAAGATGTTGTGTCCGCCGAAAATTAAAACAATAAATAAAAAAAAAAATTCTCTCTCTCTCTTCTCTTTAAAAAAAAAAGAAGAAGTTGAGCAGTGCCTACCAGGTGCTGAGTTGTGAACTGATTTGATGAACAGAATTGGCATGTCTTTTGGTCTAGTGGTGCCATTGAAAGTTTGAGAACCTCTGAAATATAAGGATATGAAGAACTAAATGCTAAATTCGTAAACAGATGAAACATAAATTCCTAGAAAAAATGAATATAAGTTGAATACAGTATAAAAATATCAGAATGATAATCAAAGATCTTCCCAAAATCCCTCACCTAAATGACTATACAGATGAGTTCCATCAAATTATTTTAATTTTTTTTTTAGTTGTAGATGGACACAATACCTTTATTTAATTAATTAATTTATTTTTTATGTGCTGCTGAGGATCAAACCCAGTGCCTAACGAGCTAGGCAAGTGCTCTACCAGTGAGCTACAACCCCAGCCCCAGTTCCATCAAATTTTGAAGGAACAATTCCTTTCTTACATATCTTAATTATAGAAACTGGGAAAGCAGTGAGAGGCTGCCTTATTCTTTATGAACTAGTACAATTTTGATTCTTAAACCCTGATAAAAACAATACAAAAGGATATGTTATAGAACCATTTCCTTTATTAATATATATGGAAGGATCCTAAGTAAAATATTAGCTATTTCAATCCAAAAATACACTGAGAATGATACATAGAATCAGGTGGATTTATTTAGTTCAGGAGTCAAAGGCAGTTCATCTGTAAGGGTTATTAATGCAACTCACCATCTTTAATAGTTGAGAGAAGAAAAATGTTTCTCTGGTTTAATTCAGAAAAGTATTTTCTACCTTCCAATAATTGTGTATTGTAGAAAATCTTGGCAAACAACATAAATAAAAGAACTTTATTGGATTTTTGAACACTTAAACATAATTATTATGATGAATGTAAGAGACTTGACGTCTACTCATTGTTCAGCTTCAAAATTTGCTGTAAAATGTCAACTCTGTTTAATGTTTGCCTCATCCACACACAGCTTTTTCTGCCCCACCACTTTATTATTAAGCTAATTCCAGATGTGCCTTATTAGTAGATGATCAGAATGTAGTTTTTTTCTCTGTAACCATTAACATCCTGAAAAATTAACACTAATTGTCTAATATCTAGCCATGGTTAAAATTGTCCTGATTGATTCATAAGTGTGGTTTCAAAGTTCAAATATTGTTGTCTTTGACTGCTGTGCCTTTTGGTGTTTTTAATTTTTTTTCAGAACAGTCTCACTCAGTTGCCAGGGTGGCCTCATTTGTTTCCTACTTTAGCCTCCTGAGTAGCCGGCTCCTCCCTCCTTCCTCTACTCTCCATTCTTCTTCGTTTTTCCATTTATGTGACTAAGAAACAAGTTCATTCTTTCTGTGGAATTTTCCATGTTATGAATTTGGCTGGTTGTGTCCTCATGGTGTTGCTTAGCAGGCTTCTTAAATTTCTGTAGTAGGTTAGATTGAGTCCTGTTTTGGTTTTTGTATGGGAGAGGGGATTATTACTTCATAATAACTTTTTAACTCTTCAAATCAAAGGGGACATAATGCTTGACTGCTTTTATTTTAAGGTTGGGCTTTAGTACCTAGCAGTTAAAAATCATTATAAAGGTTACTTAGATCATTATTCCATTGTGAATAGCAAAATGCTGATTTATCATTTCTTCTTCATTTATTAGCTAGATGTCTATAAAAGAAAAACAGTCCCTCATCAACCTTTTGTTTACTTTGAAATAAAATTCATTCAGAAAAGGGAAGAATTGTGGACCTAATAATTTACTCTTGTAAAGATATTAGTATTCTTGATGTATTGTCAATAAGTTCCAAATAATCTGTCAAGTTTTTAGTTAGATATTTTTGAGAAACTCTGTAAATATCCTAAATGGTGTGTGGAAGAATTAAGGTTGTGGCCTGGGGCTGTGGCTCAGTGGTAGAGCAATAAATAAATAAATAAAGGTATTGTGTCCATCTACAACTAAAACAATTAAAAAAAAAAAGAATTAAGGTTATGAATAGCTTAGTTGACTTAAGAAAAGGAGGAAAAAAGGGGGACTTATGAGATTAAGACATATTACAAAGACATAATGATAACTATGTGGTTAGTATACGAACATGTAGATCTCTCAGAATATTAGAGAGTTTAGACATAGATCTATGGATGTGTGGGAACTTGATATAAAGTTAACAGTGCAATCAATAGACAGAAACTAAATTATTTCACAAATAATGTGGAGGGGGCAAGTAGCTTGTTATATATGGGAAAATAAGACTCCTTTGCATCATATACAAAGGTAGACTCCCAATAAATACCAAATGTGGAAAAAAAACAAAAAAGTTAGGGGAAATGAAAAATATTTTTTGAGATGTGAGTTTTGTACTCTTAAAACCTCAAAAGTACAAACTAGATGTATATGTTAATTTAATTGTACCAAATGGGGAGTTTTGATTATCAGAGACTCTATGAGCATAATTAACACACAGAAGTGGGAAATGGCAGACAGTATTGGCAATGTTTAATATTAACAAGCAATTAATACCCTCCAGAGTATACAAGGAATTCCTGCAAATAATAAAATGATAGCAATCCCAGCAGGAAAATTTGTAAAGTATATAAAAAGGAATTTATAGAAAAGGAAACCCCCAAATCAGCAAGCATATGAAGAGTTCCTCAACATAATTAACAATTAGAAAATGCAAATTAAAACAATAAGATATCGTTTCATATGTATCAGGCTGGTGCACATTAAAAAATTGAGCAATAAGAAGAGTTGCTGAAGGTGCAAAGCTATGAAGACCCTTATACATTGCCCATGGTCATGTAGCCTCTCTGAACAATAGCATATATATGACTCAGGTGTTCCACTCTTGATTTTATATGCAAATGACATCTCAAGTGGATTCAGGTAATAACATATGCAGGGATGTTCATTGCAACATTGTTTGTGGTAGGAAGGCATTGGTGGATATGTAAATGTTCAGTATTAGCATAGTAGAGGGTAAATTATTCCAGCTACAACTTTCAGCAACAGAACAATTCTGACACCAGATGTGTTGGTCTCCAGCAGACATCAAATGAGTGTCCTATAATTTGATTCAGTTCTGACATCATATACCACAAGTTCCACAAGCCTACCAGTCACTTCAGATGCATATTGCAAGGTCCCCCTCTTCAGTCCAACCAACTATGAAATTGGGGGTTTCAATGAACCCCTCCTTGAGTTTGATCAACTTACTAAAGCAGCTCGTAGAACTTAGGAAAACATTTTATTCAAGTTTACCCATTTATTGTAAGAGCTGTTTCAAAGGATACAGATGAATAGCCAGATGGAAGAGATACACGGGACAAGGCAGGTAGAAAGAGCCTCCTTGCCTTCTCTAGAATCTACCAGGGACCTCTATGTATTTACCAATCAAGAATCTCTCTGAATCCAGTCCTTTTGGAGTTTTAAGGAGGTTCCTGATTGATTTTATATCATTTGGCTATTGCTAGAACTCAAACTTTAGCCCATCTCTCCTCCCTAGATGTGGAGGATTGGGGCTGAAAGTTTAAATCTTTATTCTCATAGTTGGTTCCCCTGTCAAACAACCCCCATCCTAAGGCTGTCAAAGGATCCCCCAGCCATCTGCCAACTGTCATCTTATTAGAACAAAAAATCACCCAGGAAATTCCAAGAGATTAGATCTCTGTGTCTGGAATTGGGGTCTGAAACCAAATATTAGCAAAAGGATTCTCCTAGCACCTCTGTCTATAAGAATTTTAAAACTCTATGTAAGAAACCACTGTTTCTTATCTTATACACACTCCATCTCATTTCATGAAATTAGAGATTCTCTTAAGATGTGATCCATAAATGTTATATAATTGGCAGTATGATTAAGGCAAATGAAACAACTTGGAGCACAACTAGCAACTTATCCACCCTATGGAACTGTTACTCTCCCATTAATATGTCTTGGACCATATAGTTACATGAATACCAGACATATGGACCAAGTGAGGAGACCCATTTCAGTCTGTATGCTGAGCATATAGAATGTTTAATTTTCCCCTTTTAGTTAAGTAGAGATATAAGTTCTAATATTGTCTTCTTGCATTTCAGTTGACACCTCCCCTTTTGAGATATATATATATCTCTTTGAAGACCCTTGGTCTCAAATACCTGTTTGGAGGAAGTTATTTTTAATTCCAAGTTATGAATCTTAAGAGTTTATACACATTTTTAATGTGTTCCATATACATCTGTATTTTTTAATATATAGTGTGATTTTCCCAAATCTTGGGGGAAATTTAACATTCTAGTAACAAATGCCTTGAAAGACTCTCTAGTACACATCTAGTAGTATGAACATTACCTTAAAATGATTTCACTGTCAAAGATCTGACAGATCTTTGGGATTGATATTTCCTGTCTTAATAATACCTCTAGTCTGGCTTTTCTAAGATGGGTCCCAATGTGAAATATTCTGTTGTGAAATAACATAGTTATTTTATGACACTCTGATTTTTTTTTTTCTTTAACTTTACAGAGACTGTGCAGTTGATCCAACTTGTGTTTTATGCATGGAGTGCTTTTTGGGAAGTATTCACAGAGACCATCGATATAGGGTTAGTAATATCCAAATAATAATTATATACAGTATTGAATTTTATATTGAATACTTTTCTTTTTAAAGCCCAAAGATTTAACATGTAAATGGGGAAAGTGGTTTTAAAATGTATTCTTTAGGGCTAGGGATGTAGCTCAGTGGTAGAGTGTTTGCCTAGCATATACAAGTCCTTGGGTTCCATCCCCAGCACTACCAAAAAAAAGTATTTTTTAAATTTTTAATTAAATTTAATTAATTTATTTATTTTGGCATGGGGCATTGAACTCAGGGATGCTTTATCATGATTACATCCCTAGCTCTTTTTGAGATAGGGCCTTGCTAAGTAGCTAAGGTTGGTTTCAAATTTCTGATCCTTCTGCCTCAGTCTTCTGAGCTGGGATTACTGGTATGCTCCACTGCACCCAGCATGTTTTGCTATTTTTAAATGTTTATTAAAGTGACATTTACTACACTATAGAAGAAGGCCCAACTCCAGTGCATAATAAGACTCACCAGTTTTATTATTTTAGGCAGTTTATTCCTAAGCCTGTTCTGGTTCCTCTGTTGGAAATTGAAGATAGACCATGAACATTCAAAGGTTAGGAACCAGATGGTAGATGGAACTTTTACCCTGATCATAAAATAAAATGGTAGAGAAGGAATATATCAATCTTGTTCTTAATTCCAGAAGCTCTAATGGGTCAGGACTTTTTCTTCTGTTTTTAATTTGCTTTACCCAAGTATTGATAATATATTAAAGCAGCTACAAAATTGGGCTCCCTACATTCTTACATGTTCTCTTTATTCTCATAAATCCATGAAAGGATCCCACTTTCCTTTAAGAGAATCCCAGTTGCTTTTAAGGCTTTCTATCTGTGGTTTGATAATAAAACACACACATAAGCCATAAGGTGGAGTTATCATTTTCCAAATGGTTGCCTATCCATGTTTCTGGGCACACATCTTTGCGTCCCCTTGGAATAGCTGAAACACATGGTTTATATGAATTATATTGTGATATATAACACACAAATACTTATACTTTGGACAGGATATAATAGGATTTATTCTAAAATTTGCTGTAACTAATACCTGTTCCTAAACTTTCCTAAAGTATTTCAAGAAAGGCAGAATTTCTAGTCTCCCGATTATTAACTAACATATTCTATCCCACCAAATTTCTTGAATCATTGCCTTAACTTAAGGAATTGTGAATAATTCTTGAATCACACAAGTGTGAAAGTTTTTATGATCATGTAGCACTTTTGTATTACCTGTCCTTTCTAAAAGTGGTTTTTTAGGAAGTGTGAGAGAAGAAAAATGAAATATTTCTATAGTCCTTGTTGGTCATTTTTTATACTATTATTAAACTCTTGTGGGGGCCAGGCCCAGTGGCATGCACCTATAATTCCAGTGGCTTGGGAGGCTGAGGCAGGAGGATTGCAAATTCAAAGCCAGCTTTAACAACGGCAGGGTGCTAAGCAAAAATAGGGCTGTGGGTGTGACTCAGTGGTTGAGTGCCCCTGAGTTCAATCCTTGGTTACCCACCGCCCCCCCCCCCCAAAAAAAAAAAAAAAAAAAAAAAACTCTTGTGGGGGACAGCAACTACAGATTTTTTTTGTACTGGAGATTGAACCCCTGGGTATTTTACCCAGTCCTTTTTATTTCTAGATAGGGTCTCATTAAGTTATTGAAGCTGGCTTCAAACTTTTGATTCTCTTGCCTTAGCCTCTTGGGCTGCTGGGATTATAGACATGTGCTACCATGCCTGGCTAGCTATAGAAATCTTTATAACCCTTGAATGTGTATTACATATCATATTATTTTGTTATGTTATATTATGTTATCACAACCTGATTGCATAGATCTCAGCATTATACTAATTTAACCAAAATCCTGCAGGAAAACCTTCATGAATCCTCATTATTTTTCTAATTAAGGAGGCTATGCAGGCAGACATATCCTCTTTAAAATATCTGTAGTTTATTGAACACTACAATGTATTTTATTTTGAAATCACATAGATTAACCTACACACTTATTTAAAATAAAACATCAGAAGGCTTGGCATTTTATTTAGTTTTATCCCTCCAAAGAATTAAACATATAAGCAGTGTTATTTTCTTAGCACTTGATATTTTTATTTATTATCTGATAGCCCTCAGTAAATACTTATTGACAAGGTACTTTACAATTTTCTTTGAAGATGACAACATCAGGAGGTGGAGGTTTCTGTGACTGTGGTGATACAGAAGCTTGGAAAGAGGGTCCTTACTGTCAAAAACATGAACTTAACACCTCTGAAATCGAGGAAGAAGAGGTAAAAACATTTTCACAAAGTTTCTTTTAAGGAAAAAATGTTTGAGTTTTAAAATTTTTATCATTACAGGGATTATTTTTCCTGTTATGTATGGGCCAGTTAACTAGGTTGGTTTTTGTATATAACTTTCTTTTCTATTACCATGCATGTTAGCCAACCCTAATTGTCATCTCTTAGTAAATCATATCACTGGTTTTGTGATGGGACCAGGTGTAGAAATAACAGCTCAGTACAGATGATCCCAACTCCAGCTGTACATATATGTTTCTTAAAATTGTTTTTTTTAGATGATATTTGTAATAAAGTGGACTCTTGTTAAATAAATGCTTGAATGTCTGCTTTTTGTGACAATTTAATGTTTATTTCAGGATCTTTATTTCAGATTTTATTTTATTATTTTTGAATGTCAGAGAGGTATGTATAAAGTACTTATAAGGTCCAATATAGGTTTGGGATAAATGGACAATAATAGTCCTTCCTGATGCATGTACCACACAGGTCTCAAATATTTTAACAGAATGATCAAGATTTTTGATGTCAGGGTTGTGTGTGTGTTTGTGTGTGTGTGTGTATTACTAGGTATTAAACACAGGAATGCTTTATCCCTGAGCTATATCCCTAGCCCTTTTTATTTTTCATTTTGAGATAAAGTCTCACTAAGTTGCCAACACTGGCCTCAAACTTGTGATCCTTCTGCTTCAGCCTTCCGAGCTGCTGCAATTACAGGTATGTGCTACCATGCCCAGCTGCAGCTCCATATTTTAAAATATATTTGATCAAAGTTCTGCATGTAAATATAAACATACAAGACAAATTAAGATATTTGAAAGAAAAGTTTTGTACTTTAGAAAAAAGATTAACAAACACTACTACAAAATTTTAGGACTATTGGAAAAAATATTTGCAAATCATATATCTGGTTAAGGATCTAGTATCCAGAAGATGTATCTTACAATTAATAATAAAAAGACATCCCAATTTAAAAAATGGATAAAGGACTTGAATAGAGAGTGCTCCAAAAAAAATAAATCTACAAATGACCAGTAAACACATGAAAAGATGGTCAACATCATTAGTCATTAGGAAAATGCAAATTGGGGTATTTTTTTTCGGGGGGGGGGGGGTGTGCTGGGTATTGAACCCAGGGCCTTGTGCATGTGAGCTGAGCTATATCCCTATTCCCGGAAAATGCAAATTGAAACCACAGTGAGACACCACTTCACAACCATTAAGAAAATATATACTGTAGGTACTTGATGGGTTATAAAATTCCCAAACTCTGCCATTTAATATCTGTTTAAGAGTTCAGTTAAGGGAAATGAAATCTCCGACTAAGATGGACTAAAGATATTAAAAGACAGTAATGTGTTTGGTATACCTGGTCCCTACTAACTAAACTCATACATGTATCTAGGCTCTCCACATTACATGCTTGAAAAGGAAGAGAACTATAAATGTTAGAATGTGGTTTCGTCTGTCAAAAAAATTTTTATTAACATGAATTTTTGGTGATATATTCAATCTACATCTTAAGAAAAAACTGGGAAATTTTTGTTATACTTCTTTAGGAAGACTGTGTAGGGGTTGCCCCATGTTTTCTCAGATCTTGTCATTAGAGTGGGATATTTCTTCATTGTATAAGCTAAGGATCAGCAGACTATGACCCCACAAACCCAATATTATCTGCAACCTCTTTTTGCCTGAGTGATTTTTTTTGTTGTTGTTTTAAAATAGTTGGAAGGAAAAAAAATCAAATAATATTTTGCAATATATGAAAATGATAAGAAATCCAGATTTCAGTGTCTATAAAATATTTACAGGAACACTGGTATGCTTGATTTAATGTGCTGTCTGTAGCTGCTTTTTCATTACAACAGCAGAATTGAGTTATTACCGCAGAGCCCCTGTAACCTGCAAAGACTAAAAATTTTTTAAATGTATTTTTTAGTTTTAGTTTTAGGTAGACAAGATGGCTTTATTTATTTTTTTATGTGGTGCTGAGAATTGAACCCAGTGCCTCACATGTGCTAGGCAAACACTCTACCACTGAACCTGAACCCCAGCCCCCTAAAATACTATCTTACTCTTTGACGGAAAACATTTGTTGACCAAGAGAGTATGTTGTTGGAACCCTTTTGTTTAGTATGCCTAAACTAAATGACTAAATGACTGTAATATTTCCTAGTAATAATGAAGGAAAGCTCAACCAGGTTTACAAATGGCCCTATGTTCAAGGGGATTAATGGGGAGGGTAGTGGGGTAGTACTTCTTAGTTGAGAACCACCACATATTGTAGGGTGTCTCCTTTGTTAATATTTATTCCTATAAATAAGAAATTTCTTTTAGGTTTATTCATTTAGATTTTTTTTTTCTGTATGTAAATCTAATAATAGTATTTCCTTTGATTGAGGCTTCTGGAAAAAGGGCCATCTATTTGGAAACAGCCTGTCTAATAGCCTGTAGTAGCTATACAGAAATTTACATGATCTTCCTTTATAAATGAGTGTTATCTTGATTGCAGTTTATTTAAATTCTTTTTGGAATAAAATTTAATTAAATAATGAATATTAACTGAATGAACATCCTTAGTGAAGATTCTATGATCAGAAAATTTCAGTTGCAAATACTGTTTCCATTTATTTCTCTATTTTTTTATTTTTATTTTTTGTAGTTGTAGATGGACAGAATGCCTTTATTTAATTTATTTTTATGTGGTGCTGAGGATCAAACCCAGTGCCTCACACATGGTAGTCAAGCGCCCTGCCACTGAGCTATAGCCCAGTGCCAACTGTTCCCATTTCATTTGAATACAGATCAGTGATTATTAAAAGCTAGGTTCTTTACTAAGTACTTTACTTGATCTATCTCATTTAAGTCTAAAATGGCCTCATAAATTGGATACAGCAGCACTTGCCTATAATCCCAATGACATGTGGGGCTGAGCAGGAGGGTCACAAGTTGGAGCCAGCCCTAGCAACTTAACAAGATTCTGTCTCAAAAATAAAAAGGGCTGAGGATAAAGCCCCTGGCTTCAACCCCCAGTACAAAAAAAGAAAAAAAGCCGCATAAAATAGATACTGCTGTTGCTAATACTTTATAGATGCAGAAGCTTGAGTTTTATATTAAGAAACTTGCCCAAAGTATTCTATATAGTAAGTGCTAGAGCTAGATTTAATCCTAGGTAGTATACACTTGAGTAATGAAATTCCTAACAGTCCATTATGCTAGTTTTTTTTAAAATATGTTTTTAGTTATAGATGAACACACAGTATCCTTATTTGTTTTTATGTGGTGCTGAGGATTGAATCCAGTGCCTCACATATGTGAGACAAGTGCTTTACCACTGAACTACAGTCCCAGGCCCCATTATGGTAGTAAAAGAAATTTTAACAGAAAAATTTTAAATGAAATTCAAATATAAAAATCCTAGTAATAAACAAGTTAAAGTGGTATTAATGAATTTTTTTAAAAATTATATGTGGTGCTGAGGATTGAACCCAGTGCCTCACACATTCCAGGCAAGTTTGCTACCGCTGAGCCACAGCCTCAGCCCATAAATTTTTTTTAATAAGATGAAACATATTATTTACTCATCAGAAAGTCAGTTTGTGAGATAAGAAAGATTATTTGGGGCTGGGTGTGGTGGCACATGCCTGTAATCTCAGTGACTCAGGAGGCTGAGGCTGGGGGATCTCGAAGCCAGCCCCAGCAATTTAGCAAGGCCCTAAGCAACTCAACAAGACCCTATCTCCAATAAAAGATAAAAAAGGGTTGGGAATGTGGCTCAGTGGTTAAGCACCCCTGGGTTTAATTCCTGGTACCCCCGCCCCATTATTTTGGTACCAGGAATTAATTCAGCTTCTTGTTTATATTTTCATTTGGCAATATTGAGAAAATCTTCATTTATACCTTATTTGTGTGATACAGCCATTAAAATCTTTATTGTAATGTAAAAATGTGAGTGTGTAACCGATGTGATTCTGCAATTTGTATTTGGGGTAAAAATGGGAGTTCATAACCCAATTGAGTCAAATGTATGAAAGATGATATATCATGAGCTTTGTAATGTTTTGAACAACCAATAAAAAAAAATCTTTATTGTAATTCAGGTTTACATTTTTAAAAATTTAAGCATTACGGGAGTATATAGTAGTGTACCTTGCATTCTTCTAGCTTGAAAGAAAAGTCAAAGTTTACTATCAACTTTGTTTTATAATATAAATCTAATTCAAGAACTAAAATCAATAGTAGTAATTGATAGTACAATTTACAGTTAATTTCTCAAGAATTGGTGGTTGTTTGCATCCAGAATCATTGAATTTTTATAAACACTGTTTTTTGTAATTCTTCAGTCCCTGACTTTTTTGCATTTTAGGAGTAATCATAAGAAATGGAATGACTGTGTGGTGAGGTGATATTACTAAGAAAGCTGAGTTTTGGTTCTCTTTTCTATTTTGGTGTAGTGTGAGGTTCATATTATATTATTAGTACTTTTTTTGAGTCCCCAGATGGTACCATTTCTGCTTCTCTGTGCACAGGTCTCACCATGTTAATGACTTTTAAAGCCTCTGTAACAAATAATAATGAACCTTGCTAAGTAGAGAGGAATAAACAAAACTATGATAACAGAAAACTTGATAGGATATGTAACAGCTTACATGGGAAGAGTTATAGATAAAAAGTATTGTAAGAAATTGAAAAATCTGTTTCTTACTGAGGAAAGTAAATCGACCTTTGAGCCTTAGACCTATCTCCTTTAGAAATTTTTGTCCTTTTTTTATTCCACAGTCTTTATTTGTTTATCAGTTCCATTTGGTTTGTCTGGGTGAAAATTGTGTGGATGTGTGTGTGTACACGCATTCATACGTAAGAATATGCTTATTACTATTGTCATGTTATGACATGTTATAACATGATACTTTCTAATTTGAGAAATAAGTAGAATGCTGTTTAGCCATTGACCTAAATAAAATGTTTAGATTTAAGATAAAGCATTAAGATTAAAGATTACATAAAACATTTTGCCAGCCTTGACTGAAAGATAGCATGATAAACATTATGCATGTTTAATGGGCCTGGCTCAGTTGGTAGAGTGCTTGCCTAGCATGCACGAGGCCCTGGTTCAATCCCCAGCACCACAAAAAAGAAAAAAAAGAAAGAAAGAAAAAGAAATTAAACATTAGGCATGTTTAAAATAGTACTTTTTTACATTAACCTAGAAATGTATTGACTTACCCACTGTTAAATCTCTTGTGCAGAGTTCTCTGATAGCATATACACATATCTCATGCTGCAGAGGGAAAAGGAGACAAATGAGTGGTTCCTAATATCCAGGGACAGTTTTCTGACTTTGATGAGTCCTCCCTTTTAAAATTATTAAAATCAAGCTCTCCTTTAGACCTATAGAACTATTCTTATTTGCGAATCCATACAAAATATTCATTTGCTTTTTTCTTCAAATTAGATAATCAGGATATGAAGCTAGATGGTTTGATGTTAGATTTTAGTGATCCTGAAATATCATTCCAAAATTCTTTGGAGTTGCCATTGGATGATTCAGTTGGTTCAAAATTGGGGTTGTTCTGATCAAAAACATTTTAGGAAGTTTGATGTATTGGGTTGTAATGTGTAGGACTAAATTCATTGAGAAGTTGAAGCTGGAATACTTTTCGGCTTTCTCTATACTGTTTTTTGAAAGGTAGAAGCAGATGGGAAAGAAGAAAATTAATGTTCATTTAACATGGTTGCATTATTTTTTTTTCTATTCTTCCAGGATCCTCTTGTGCATTTATCAGTAGATGTGATAGCAAGAACTTACAACATTTTTGCTATTATGTTTCGTTATGCAGTAGAGATATTAACCTGGGAAAAAGAAAGTGAATTGCCAGCAGATTTGGAGATGGAGTAAGTATAGCCCCTTTATTCTTTGTGTGTAGTCAAAATTGTTAAATTTTTACTTTATACAGGTAGGATAGGACATAATTTTTTTAAATGATTTGATTTTAAGAGAACAAGAGCTTTGATATCATAGTTTTTAAATATGTATAATTCATTTAATTGGTGAAGTTTTCCTCTTGGTTCATGGTTGGTTGGTTAGTTGGTTTATAGTCATTTAAAACTATTTTGAGACTAACTAGTTTCAGACATGGCAGTTTTCTTTCTTTCTGATATGTAAAACTGATAAGTTACTATACAATTCTACTTTTTATTTCCTGTATCATACATCTTAGGGAATGAGCTCTTCAGTGTAAGTGGTTTGAATAAATACTTGCTCAATTTTAATCATTTTGATTCTAATTATAAAATGTATTCCACCCTTATAATGATTTCTTTTTAGCATGCAGCTACCATTTTTACTTAGATTATTGAGGTAATGGACTTGTGACCAGAGAGCTGGATTCAGCCACCACTGTATTAAGGGGAAGGGCTTACTTTTCCTTGTTAATATGTTTGCCTAAATCTTCTCTTTAATTAAAAAGTGAAACGAAACTTGTTGGAATTGTGTCTGTAGCAAAGGATGAATTCAAGCTGGACACTGGTAGTATTTCTTTTTTGATTTCTTAGTGAGTTTCAGAGAATTGAGCTTGTGGGTAAAGTGTTTTTTAACAAAATGAGTTGTTGCTATAGTGAATTTTTTTGGAAATATTGAAAATTACTTAGTGCCTTTTAACTGTTATCTTCATGAAATTCAGGTTGGGATTAAATGATCTAAGATCTGAGTTTAGAGCCTAGAGAATAGAATAGTTTTTGTTTTATTGTTCAGACCTATCAGCATAGAAGGGAAATGTATATCTGACTTGATTTTCTTTTCTTTTTTTTTTAATATTTATTTTTTAGCTGTAGTTGGACACAATACCTTTATTTTATTTATTTATATATGGTGCTGAGGATCGAACCCAAGGCCCCGCATGTGCCAGGCGAGCGCTCCACCACTGAGCCACAACCCCACCCCCCCCCCCCCCAACTTGATTTTCTTGTAATATTTTCCCTCTTAGTTTTCTTTCATCTACCCATTAACTTAAATCATCCATATCTCTTTAGGTATATCTCCTGTTACAAGTCTTTGATTGTCCGTAAGATGGCAAAAATAAAAATCCATTATTCAAGGTTTTACTTCTCTCCAGACCACACTAATTTCACATCAATCTCTTCCTTTTTCCTGATTCTCAGCTCCCCAAATTTACCTTTGCCAACTCTATGCCTTTGCTTTCAACATTCCTGTAGTCTAGGGTTTCTCAACTTTGACACTATTGGCATTTGGAACCAGATAAATTATTTGTCAAGAGAACTGTCTGGTAAATTGTAGGATATTTAGCAGCATCTCTGGCATCTGTCCATAAATGCCTATAGCATCCCCAAGCCCAGTCATGACAACCAAAAATGTCCACAAACATTATTGAATGTTAATCTATGGGAGGTGGAGGGGAATTGATAGCAAGAACTTACAACATTTTTGCTATAATGTTTCGTTATGCAGTATAGATATTAACCTGGGAAAAAGAAAGTGAATTGCCAGCAGATTTGGAGATGGAGTCTGACTTTGGGTTTTAGATTGCTTCTTTAGCAATTCTTCTCTGAACTTCCAGACCTATTATATCCTGCTCTAGTATCCTTCTGTTCAGGTCACATACAGTTATACATTCAGTATTTTCTCCACCAAAATGTAAATATAATGACACAGAGCAGAGACTACAAGATGACTTCTTTAATGATACATGCCCAATACTTCTCACATTCTGTAAGGCAGAGTATGCTATTAATATTAATCAGCCTGGAATAACATAATATTCAAATAGATAATCTATCATTAATTTTTTATCCCGCAGAGAAAAGAGCGACACCTACTATTGTATGTTGTTTAATGATGAGGTTCACACCTATGAACAAGTAATTTATACTCTCCAGAAAGCTGTTAACTGTACTCAAAAAGAAGCCATTGGTTTTGCAACAACAGTGGATCGAGATGTAAGTGATTTTATCATATTGACATCATATAATAAATTGAACTGCTACTACAGATAACTTACTGCAGAAAATTGGCTTTTTAAAAAATTTCATTTGAATATTGGCCCAAATGTATATTGGTGTAACTGTAAGCAGTTGTCAGAAAGTTTAAAAGGAAATATATAGTTATCTTCATTCTACCTAGTCTTTAAAATATTCATCTATGAAAAGGGAAATTATAAAAACCTAGTAGAATGAATGTTGTGTTGTTCAAAGAAACATATGCACTAATGGTTTGAAAAAGGATGTTTTTGAAAGAAAACTTGAATTTACTTATCATTGATGAGTAGAATGAATATTGTAAATATTAAATATTGATTAGCGTTATATGTTCAAACACATTTGTTTATTTACCAGTTTATAAGGTACTAATATTGAATTGAATGTTTTTACAAATTAATTTATTTTTATTTATAGGGACGTAGGTCTGTTCGATATGGAGACTTCCAGTATTGTGAGCAAGCAAAATCAGTAATTGTGGTAAGTAACTTAAAAACATGCCTGTACTATTATTTTTTATTGCCTCCTTAATTTAGTGTTTATGAGTAAATTTTTATTCTTTCATGAATATAAAGCCAATGTCAACTAAATCATATTTACAGGTAATGTTTCTTTTGAGTATTACATTATTTTATGTAGTTTGTTTATTTGTTTTGTTTTATATTGTTTTGTTTGGTACCAGGAGTTGAACCCAGGGGCAACTCAACCACTAACCATATCCCCAGCACTTTTTCTTTTTTATTTTGAGACAGGGTCTCATTAAGTTACCTAGGGCCTTGCTAAATTGCTGAGGCTGGCTTGAACTTATGATCCTCCTGCCTCAGCCTCCCAAGATGCTGGGATTACAGATGTGTGCCAACCACACCTGGCTTCATCTAGTTTTTTAAAACTATGTAAGATTGATAATAGAAAATGAATAGATAGATAAGAAATTTTAGAAGTCTTTTTGCTTTTTGTTTTGTTTTTAAGTAATAGGATTTCCCATTCCCTTTTAGTAATTAAATTGGTCTTTAGCACCAAAATTAGAATTCAGAGAATGGTGCTTCTTGATACATGATAGCAAGATAGTAGCTTAATAATCTTTACTGTATTATTTTTTAAAGTTTGTTACTTAACTATTCCATGTAACTGCATCTATAGACTTTTTGTTTTTGTTTGGTTTTGTTTCATTTGGTGGTACTGGGAATTAAACCCAGGGGCTCTTTACCACTAAGCTACATCTTTAGTATTTTACTTTTTGAGACAGAGTTTCATCAAATTGCCCAGGCTGGCCTCAAATATGCAGTTCTCCTGCCTAGCCTCCTGAATAGGTAGGATTACAGTCATGCACCATCACTCCCAACTTAAAAAATAATTTTAGATATTATAAAGTATTTTAAATACATAGAAAAATAGAAATAACACAGTGAACACCTGTGTTTATTGAAACTTATTTTCTTCTTACTTATTTGAAATAAATAAAAGTGTATAGAAGCTCCCATATCATTTCTTCTTAATCCCATTTTCCTTCCTCCTTACATAAAAAGAACTACTTGCATTAATTCACTTTGCTCATTTCTTGTGCTTCATACATTAAACACCTGCCAGTATGATGTGTATTGTTGTAGAGGTCTTTAAACATCATTTAAAAAGATTCATATTGAAACTGGGCATGGTGGCTCATACCTGTAATCCCAGTAACTCAGGAGTCCAAGGCAAGAGGATTACAAATTCAAGAGCAGCCTAGGAATCAGGGTAGAATGCCCCTGGGTTCAATCCCCAATACCACATACCTACATGCACGCACATACCTACAAGATTCATGCTAAATGTATTATATTGCAACTTGCCTTATCATATCAGTGTTATTTTTAGATTTTTCTGTTCTGATACATTACTCTAATTCATTCTTTCTTTAACCTTTGTATTCCACTGATGATTTTACCACAATTTTCCATGAGGATGTTTCCAGGTTTGTTTTGCTGTGACAAATACTCCTGCTGTGGAGTATTCTTTTGTCAGATTTTAACGTATTTGCCAATCTGATGTGTATAAAATGGTATCTCATGAATTAAATTTAAATTTTTTTATATTTATTTTTTAGAAGTAGTTAAACACAATACCTTTATTTTATTTATTTATTTCTATGTGGTGCTGAGGATCAAACCCAGGGCCTTGCACATGCTAGACTAGCCTTCTACCGCTGAGCCACAACCCCAGCCCCATTTCTTTAATTTCTAAGTGTCTTATTAAACATAATCAATTTAATAGTGCATCGGAAACTCTCCTATGGGCATTAGAAGAATATTCCCATTCACAGGAAATGCATACTGAAGTATTTATGGATAAAAGGTCATTCTGTGAATGACACCCTCAGTGATTTAAAAAAAAAAAAAAAAGTACGAAGACAAAGATGTGCAGGGCTGGGGATGTGGCTCAGGTGGTAGCGCGCTCGTCTGGCATGCGTGTGGCCCGGGTTCAATCCTCAGCACCACATACAAACAAAGATGTTATGTCCGCCAAAAACTAAGAAATAAATATTAAAAATTCTCTCTCTCTCTCTCTCTCTCTCTCTCTCTCCTCTCTTTAAAAAAAAAGAAAGAAAGATGTGCAAATGATAAAACAGTTGGGGTAAAATTTATTGCATATGAGGGCTGGGGTTGTGGTTCAGTGGTAGAGTACTCGCCTAGCACGTGCGAGGCCCTGGGTTTGATCCTCAGCATCACATAAAAATAAATAAATAAAATAAAATAAAGGTATTGTGTCCACCTACAACTAAAAAATAAATATTTAAAAAAAAATTTACAGCAGATGAATCTGGAAAACAAAAGGTTATATGGATGTACTTTGCCATTTTATTCATATTGTAAATTGAAATTATTACCAAATAAGAATTTTAGAAAGTGTTCATGCAGTATTGAATGTTATAATACTGTAGTTCTAATGTTCAAAGATACTCTTAAATGGGAGTGGTAATGATTTTGGACTGTTTTCAGGAATGAGAATGTTAAGATTTAGAGACAAAGTTCTTTCCTTAATTTTGTTATTTTTTTCTTTCACATTTGTCACTTCATATCTCCTTATACATTCGATAATATTTTTTAATTTTTCCTTTTTAAAAAAATCAGTATTTGTAATCCTTGGTGGTGTTTGCATGGGATTAGACAGATACATTAGTGATATAGAATACAGAGTTCAGAAATAGATACTCATCTGAGGAAAACCTAAACAACTACAAGGGAGAGTGCTTCTTAACCAAAATTAGAACCCCAGGAATTAGAAAAGAAATTGCACATTTTGGGGCTACATAAAAAAAAAAAATCATGACAAAATATTGCATAAACAAAGTCAACAGACAAATCGTAGATTTGAGGAAAGTACAGAATAATTGAATTAAAAAATGGACAAAAGATAACAAAACAGATCACAACAGAAAATCTTAGGCAGCCAGTATACATGAAAAGAATCTTTAATTCATTAGTAATCAATAAAATAGGAACTTTTTAAAAATATTTTTTTAATTGTAGGTGGACACAATACCTTCACTTTATTTTGATGTGGTACAGAGGATCGAACCCAGTGCCTCCCATGTGCTAGGCGAGCACTCTACCACCGAGCCACAACTCCAGCCCTAAAATAGGAACATTTTATACACATCAAAATGAAATTAGAGTAATAAAATATCTTTGCAGAGAATAGGAATACACATATAAAAACAATCTAGTAACTTTTGACTAAAGCTTTACGTCTCCTAGGAATTTATCCCTTATACATACCTGTAAGTACGTTAATAAATATAGTGTGCATATAGAATATATGTACATGGAAAAAATATGCAAAGACATATCATGTTAATATAGTTAATAGGATGAAGCAGGATTTGAAATGAGGATTCAAAAAATGAAAAGGGGTAAAAAGGTGTTTTTTAAAAAATGTTTGCTAGACTTGAATAAACATTTCTACCAAGAAAATATAAGCACATGAAAACATGTTTAACATCACTAATCATTAGGGAAATGTAAATCAAAATCTCAGTGAGATATTGAGTTGCCTCATTAGGCCTGTTAGGATGACTTCTCTCCAGAAAGAAAAATATTGACAAGGATATAGAAAAATTGAAACACTTGTGGATTGCTCATGGGAATGTGAAATGGTGGTAGCCACTATGGAAAACAATGTAGCAAGTCTTTACAAAGATAAAAATAGAATTACCACATGATTAGGCAGTTTTGCTTCTGGGCATATACACAAAAGAATTGAAAGCAGGGTCTCAGAAATTTGTATAGTCCGAGTGTCTGTTACCAGATGAATAAAGAAACAAAATGTAGCATAACATACAGTAGAATATTGTTTGGCCTTAAAAATGAAGGCAATTCGAAATATGCTACAACATGGGCAACCCCTGGGGACATTAGGCAAAGTAAAATAAGTAACAGATAAATACTGTATGATTCTACCCTATATGAGGTACCTAGTATAGTCAAATTCATAGAGACAGAAAAGTAGAATGATAATTACTAGAGAAGGGAGCCATTGGGACTTCTTTAATAAATAAAATGTTTGAGTTTTGCAAGATGAAGAGTTCTGAAGATTTATTTTATATACTGAACAATATTGAATTATACACTTAAAGTGGTTGTGATAAATTTTGTTATATGTATTTTTCCATGATTTTAAAGTATTAATAGCATAATCACATCTATGTAATGAAGTAAATTATTAAATTAAGTAATGTAAATTATATTAAGAAATTAAAGACATAAAGCAAGTTTAAGCATTTAAATAATTTATAACTGGTACCACAGATCTTAAGATATATGACTAAAGATTCAGGTTACTCACAGGCTGGGTCTTCTTACCTTTTTGTGTGAATCCTAGAATTCCTTCTAGAAAATTAGGATCTGAATGAAGTAAAGCAATCAAAGCAGTGCTTTTCTACTCAAAAAACTCCTTTGATGATGTTGATGGTTTGGTTATATTAAGTGAAATGTTAACTTTTTTCTTCTGATAAAATAGACTTTTTAAGTTAGTTTTTTCATCTTGCTATTTCTTTTTAAGAGAAATACCAGTAGACAGACAAAGCCACTCAAAGTTCAAGTTATGCATTCGTCTATTGTTGCACATCAGAATTTTGGTTTGAAACTTTTGTCTTGGCTGGGAAGTATTATTGGATATTCAGGTAAGTTCATAAAAGCTTGCACTAATAAATTATTAAAAAATGAGCTCATATGTCCTTGCAAAACTTTTTGGAAAAAAGATCAAGTGGAATCATTGCTTTAATTTCACATTTTAAAATACCATTTCAGGATATCTTTTTACACAGAAAACCTGAGTTTACCTAATTTTGTCCCACAAGGGATTTTTCACTTCAAATAATACAGGGAACAATGGGCTAAACAATTATGAACAATTTTAAGATGCTAATACAATATAAATCTCAATAACTTGCTATAAGAACCTTTTGAGAAATGGAGCATCCTGTAGAACTCTTCATAAGCTAGTAAGCTGGAAGATGCTGCTGTAAATAAAACCCAATGGTAGGCAGTTTAAATGGTAAAACACTAGTATTAGTATCTTTGTTTTGACTCCGACAATTTTTGGTTAGCAATAATTTGCTACTCTGAAAATTTGCAAATTGAGAGTTACTGATTTGTATTTTTGCTTTGTCTTGTTTGCTTTTCTGCAGTTCACAAATTAGATAATTTAATGGTAGCAATAATGAACCCTCAAGTTCAAAGCCAAAAATAAGTTTGGTGTATAACACCAAAATAATAAATAGGGATAAATAAATAAAATAAAAAATAAATAAATAAATAGGGATAAATAAATAAAATAAAAAAATAAATAGGGATAGATCTAAGCTACCTGTCATATTACTATTTAGCCAAGGCTATTGATAAATGACATCTCAGTGTTACATTAGAGAAAATAACTAAAATAGTAATACCAAAGGCTTTTAAGAGCATTGCCACACTGCAAACTGACAGTTGCAAATATGGAGGTGCAGAAGTTTAGGAGAACATTTTTACTTGCTTTGCCTAGAAAATGTCTTCCCAATTTTTCTTGGCCCCATATTCTTTAGTTTTGGTTTTCATCATTTGTTACCTATATGCCAAGTACTGTGCTGTGGTATTAATGAATAGTATCATGAAAGTAATTTTGTGCTGAAAATTTTCTTTGAGACATTTATCATCAATAACTTTTAAATGCCTAAATATTTAAATCTTATATGAGATTTTGTCTTTAGGCTTTTAAATGATTTCTGACAGCTTTTATAATAAAAATTCCATTTTTAAAAATTTTGCATGCTTGAAGACTAAAAGTAGATATTTGAATTGTACAGTATGGAACAAAATATGATAAGTTTTAGTTATTTTAAGGCTTATATTCATATTTGAAGAACTTTTCTAAAGTTTAGCATTTAGAAGATATTGGAATTTGTCATCTAGGGCCTTTCATTATGGCAGATCCATAATGAATTTTTGTTTAACAAATGAAGAACATTTTGTGTAGCAACTTTGAAAATTTGTGGTATATATTATAGTCCAGAAGTCATATCCCTTCTTTTTAAATGTTAGCACAATTTTATATTATACCTATCTTCAGTTATTTTGGAGTATATAGCCATTTGATTATCATCTGCTTTAATTAACATAAGTGCTTAAAGAACAATATTTAATAGAAGTATGTATTATATATATGTAATAATATAAGTATGCACTATCAGTTGTTTTGTGGTGTTTTTCTCTAATTCATTAAAAGAGTTGTATATAATGTGAGATTTCACTTTTTTTTTCCTTTTTGTAAAAACAATAGTTATTGTTCACTTTTTCTAAGTAAATTTGACCTTAATAAGACACATAACTATATATATCTATTTGAACATGTACTAAAATGTCACTTTATAATATTTGAAGTAGCCATCTCATGTTTGCTGTTCCTCCTATTTAAAGATGGCCTTCGCCGGATTTTATGTCAAGTTGGATTACAGGAAGGACCATATGGTGAAAACTCTTGTCTGGTGGATAGACTGATGCTTAGTGATTCCAAATTATGGAAAGGTGAATCTCTTAACTACTTTTAAGGTATAAAGGGTTGGGATGTTAAAGGTCTTTTCATTTTCAAATTAGCATTGTAGGACCTGTATGTAGTATAGCCCAGTGGTGGAATAAGTATGTATGTAGCATGTGTGAGGCCCTGGGTTCATTCCCCAATACTTAAAAAAAAAAAATAGGGGCGGGAGTACAGTCTTAACCTTTGGGAAAAACAGCAACATTTTTGGTCTATGATGCAAATTAAATAACCTTATATTTTGTTAGAAAATTATATTTAGAAAACCTAATTTTCTTAGCACAAAATCTGTACTAAGAAAAACATGTAGACTTTTGTTCTTGGGAGTTTTAGAAGACAATCACATAAAAACTTTAAAGTAATTTTTGGCTTCTTGGGTATAGCAATATCTTACACCTACTCTTTTTCTAAAGGTGCTAGGAGTGTATATCATCAATTATTCATGAGCAGCCTACTTATGGATTTGAAATACAAGAAACTATTTGCCATTCGATTTGCAAAAGTAAGTGTTGTCTGAGTTTTGAAGATTAATGAAATAGGTTATATAAAGGATAACTGTAGCCTAAAATTATTTCAAAACTCAAAAAAATTCACATCTACTCATAATACATCAACATATTGATTTATCTTTTATCAATAAAATAAAGTTACAGTAGTAAAACATTTAACATCTCCCTTGATAACATAAATATCCATCTATGTAGTATTTGTTAAATACAAAGTGATAAAGGAAGAATTAAATCTGTGCCATTGTGAATTATGCATTGGTCCTATTAAGGAAACAATAATCTTGGTTGAAACAATATGCATATAAGACTTAGGAATTATGAACTCAGTGGTTGATAAAGGTTAAGTTCTTCCTTTCAGCAACATTTGATTAAACTAACCACATATTTTTCTATTCCCCTGAATTAGGAGTTCTTAATTAAGGGAGTATGTAAGAATTATTTGGAGAGCTCTTTCAAAATACATGTGTTTATGTTCCATTCTCAAATCTATTGAAGCAGCTTCACCAAGAGTGGGGCCCAAGCATGTGTACTTTGCAGGAGTCATCAAATGATTCTAATACACATCCAGAAGTAATGAAAATCGGTTTTCATGAAAGACTTTGTTATGTTACTGTATTTGGCCCCACCAGTTAAAATATCATCCTAGGATTTAAATAAACAACTTTGGGCTCCAGAAAAATCACTGTTTATACAAGATTCCACAGGTTTTAGTGAATCAATATTTATACAGGATTTAATTGGTAGAAATTATTCCAGTTGTTGTTCTCATAGCAGTGTTATCCTATTGAGTTATCCAGCACTGACTTCATTATAATCCTTAACCCTTTGGTCAATGTGGATTAGAGGTGAATCTCCCCCTTGTTGTTTAGAATTACCAGCAGTTGCAGAGAGATTTTATGGAGGATGATCACGAGCGAGCAGTGTCGGTGACTGCTCTGTCTGTCCAGTTCTTCACCGCACCTACTCTGGTGAGTAGTGCTTGCCTTTTCTTTGTAACTGATAGCTGGCACTCCTTGCCTTTTTTTGCCTTCTTAATAGAACTATGAGCGTTTGCAGAGTGATTATGTGACAGATGACCACGACAGAGAGTTTTCAATCGCAGACCTCTCGGTTCAGATATTCACAGTTCCTTCACTTGTAAGTACTGAAAGACTAGAAGAACTTTCTTGTTTTAACTAACAGATATAAAGCTTTAAAATAATAGAAAACTAAGATCTGTGTGTTCCTGAATAGAGTAATATTTTACTAATAGGCAGTCGGACTCCAGACACCTTCAACTACACTAGAACATATCCTTGAATATTAAGTAATTCTGGGGGAAAGTCACTGAAACTCAATCCATACTTTCTCAAAGTACTTTCCGGAGATTTTGAACTAAAAGTTAACATTAAGCTAATTGGTTTATCAAATTTATACTTGACATTAGAATCAGAAAGCATGTTGTGTAACATCTCATTTTGTGAAATTTTCCTACTCACCTATTCCTCCCCATAAAGAAAGGGTAGGGAAGGGAAGAATAGAAGTTCATTGGATTAGACAAAGGGGAATGAAGGGAGGGGTGCGAGAGTAGGAAAGATAGTAGAATGAACCAGACATAACTTCACTATGCTCATATATGAATACAGGACCAGTGTGATTCCACATAATGTACAATCACAAGAATGGTATCCTAATTAGAATAAGTTATACTCCATGTATATAAAATTAGTCAAAATATACTCTACTGTCATATATATCTAAAAAGAATAAATAAATAAATAAAAAGAAAGAAAGGAGTGACTAAAGCAATTGAATCATGATTGGGTGGTCTTTTATTAAGCTTCACTACGTGCTCCTAAAGCCATCATTATGTTTTAGTACACGTAGTAATTTAAAATTATGTTTTTTATTCAATAAATTTGTTGAGCACCTATTATTTATTGGGCACATAAAACTAAAAATGCAATGGTGAACAAAGACAGATGTGATTCTTGCCCCTACTTAATGGGAAAGAGTCACCCAAGTAGGTAATTATTTTCTAATGAAAATTCTGAAGAATTTGGTATCTTTGAGAGAGAGGGGTTGCTCACTGGTAGAGTGTTTACTTAGCACCACCATTGGGAGGGGAAAAAAAAAAAACAGCAAGATCTGAGCTTCTTCCACAACTCAGAGAAGAAGATCTCTGTGGGGACTTGAGGGAAGGTTCATGTGGAGGTACTAGCACTTGAAAACCTGAGGCAGGGAGAGGAAACAGGAAAGCCACTGCACTTAAAGATTCTTGAACATGGAGTGAAATTGTATAGGTTTAAGAGTGTTTTACAGTTCCTTTACTAACAAGGCTTGTTTTCCAGATTTAAAAATGACTTTTCTGCCCCATATTGCTTTTTGTTAAAGAATATGTTCTAGTAAAGGATATATTGTAGTATTGCTATTATTATAGGCTAAATTAAGGGATTTGGTTTTTATCTTAAGATCACAGGAGGGCCATGAAGAATTGTTGTGATTCTTTTGTTTGTGGTGCTGGGGATCGAACCCAGGGCCAGGCACATGTTAGGAATGCACTCTACAACTGAGCTATATCTCCAGTCCCAATGAAGAGTTTTGATCATCACATTAGTGATTTTAAAAGATCATGCTGTTTGTAATTTAGGGAACAAATTTGAGAGATCAGAAGTGAGTGTGGTGGGGCTGGAGCTAGGGCTCAGTGGTAGTGCACTTGCCTGGCATGTGTGAGGCACTGGGTTTAATTCTCAGTACCACATAAAATAAATAAAGGTCTATCAACAACTTAAAATTTTTTTTTTAATTTTTAAGAAATTAAAAAAAAAAAAATGAGTGTGGGGAACCTAATTAGAAGCTAATGCAATGATCCAGACAAGAATTGATGTTAACTGGAACCAGGGTGCTAACAGTGGATATAAGATACTTTTAGGTAGTAAAATATACAGAACTAGTCAAGTGGGTTTAAAGAATGTTGGATTTGGTGACTGATCAGCTATTGAGATTGAAGGAGAAGTATAAGGATGACTCGGAGGTTTTTGATGTAAAACTGAGTGGAATTTCTAGACATAAGGTATTACATAAAATTCGATTTATTTTTCTCCTCACTACACTTACTGCTTTAAAGGACTTAGTATCGAGACCCTGGGGCTAGTGGAAAGTATGGGAGACTGATAATAGTAGTATATTCAGAATGGCCTCACCCTCTGACACCATCTTGATGTCCCTGATTCAGATCTGTTTCTGGAATCTCCCTTCCATGGATTAGTACTATCTTATTACCTCCATTGGCTTGACAGACACATCTAAATTCTAGGGTTGCCATAATTCAGGTTCTGAAGTTTAGAATCCTGATACTTAAATGCTTCAGTAAGTAGAGTTAGCCAGGGCTGGGGTTGTAGCTCAGTGGTGGAACACTTGTCTAGCACGTATAAGGCACTGGATTTGATCCTCAGCACTATATTAAAAAATAAATAAATAAAATAAAAACACTGTGTCCATCTACAACTAAAAAATAATAATAATTAGAGTTAGGTAGTTCAGGATAAATAGCCAGCCTATTTTAAAATTGTTTTAGTTGGATAAATAATTTTACTTTTGAACTCACCTATTTTCTGCCCCAGGATAAAATAAAAAATTAAAATTCAAAGCCAATGGCAAAAAACGTAACAATTCCAAACACACACACACAAAAAAAAATGTTAGCGAAAGTAACATCCTCTCAGTGGAAATATTCAAACAGAGCTCAACACTCATATGTGGGATGTTAGGGAAATAATCCTGTATGAAGGTAAGGTAGAAGTGTGGACTGAGTATCCACTAAAGTTCTTCTTATCTATGTTGCTTTAATGCCTCCTGGGCGATTCTACTACTGTGTTAATATCTTTGACAAGATAAATAAAATTAATGAGACTAGCAGGGGTGAAAAGAGAGACCAGATGTACACAAGTGAAAATACAGACCAGGAAACATGTTATAATGCTCCATTGTCAAGAATTGGTTTGGTTCTGTCTTCAGTTTTCTCTGAGGGATTACCTAACATTGCTAAAAGATATTTAGTAACCATTATTTTACCCAGTAAATAAATACTAAAGATAACTAATAAATATAAAGTAAATGAATCCAGAGAATTGCCACTTCCCATTTATTTACTACCTTATACTGTCAAACTTTTAAGTGTTCATTTGCTTTGCCTCTCTAAATGCAGGATAAGGCTTATGATTTGCTCTGTTTTATGGCCCTCAGGGATTCCAGCTCTTGACTCAACCATAAAAGATGCTCAGTGAATAAATGGTATTTTATCTGGGGATGGTGGGGCATGCCTATAAATCCCAGCAGCTCAGGAGGCTAAGACAGGAGAATTAGGAAATTTAGAGCCAGCCTAAGCAACTTATATAGTCTCTGTGTGTGTACCCACACAGGTGCATGTATGGTTAATGCAACAAATACATTCATTGGTAAAAGAAGAAGAAAAAGTTTATATCATTGATCTATCAATATAGCTAATTATATTTGTTGGTTTTTCTACTTTTGAAGCATGCTGATACTGTATTACAAATGTTACATGGCCACAGTGCATTCTTTGAATACACTGCTAAGCCCAGTTTGAAAGTATTTTATTTAGAGTTTTTGCATATATATTCACAAGTTAAGTAGGTCAGTTTCCCTCCTGTGTGTATGTTTTAATTAGATTTTAGCCTTGTAAAATAAATGGGATATATGTCTTATCTTTATATTCCAGGAAAAGTTAACAGAATTACCTAGGTTGTGGTTGTTGTTGAATATTTAATCTAAACTTAGAATGTTTGGGAGGTTAAATCTTAGAAATATTCTTCAAGCTTTATTTGTGAGCCAATTTTCATAATTATATACTTCTTTAGTAACAGATCCTCTCCTTTACCCCTAACTTAGTGTCACTTACATACTTAGTATTCTTCTCTACTCTAGGACAGTGGGCATGCTTCCATATCACTCTGGAACTATTGAAAGTAGTTTTATGCTGCCTTTTCCCTTCCCATTCTTCCCAGAGTCATAGACTGTAGAGATGGGGCCTAGGCATTTGCAGTTGTTTGGTTTGGGATTTTGACTTAATTGAGATAGAGTATATACAGAAAAGTAAACCCTTGGTAACTCTACAGCCCAATAAGTTTTCACTTAGTAGACCCACCCATGTTATCAGCATTCGAGAGTTAGATTTTTTGTGTACATAGTCTTATCAGCTATGAAGGAGGCAGTTTTAGTTCTTATTTCCCAATCTTTATATCATTTTTGTTTTCTGACCGGAGCCTCCAGTACAATATTGAGTACAAATGGTGATAAAAAGCAGGAATCTTGGTCTCATTTCTCATCTTAGGGGAAAATACTTTTAATATTTCATCATAAGATATAATGCTTTGGGGTTTTGTTTGTAAGATATAATGCTTTGGGGTTTTGTTTGGTTGGTTGCTTATAGATACTCTTAATTAAAGAAATTCCCCTTTATTCATTGCCCTGTGAGATATTTTTGTTTGTTTGTTTGTTTTTAAATGGTGAATAGAGGACGTGGGATATAGCTCAGTTGGTATAAGTGCTTGCCTCCCATGCGCAAGGCTCTGGGTTTAATCCTCAGCAACACACACACACACACACACACACACAAATGTGAATAGATATATAATTTTTGTGAATTCAGGAAAATTATTCGATGATGTGACCATGTAAATTACTTTTCTCCTTTTGTCTTTTAAGGTGATTTTATGTTAATTGATTTTTTTCAAATGTCTTATTATTATTGCATTAGGAAATAAGACAAATGTGATTGTGATTTCTTATTCTTTTTTCTATATTGCTTGATTCCTTTTATATGCTACTGTGAGAGAGATTAGATATAAATTTTCTTTTCTTGTAATGACCTTTTTGGGGTTTGTTACCAGGATTATGGAGGAGTTGAGAAGTGCTGGGGAGTGACATTGGCCAAATTATATTATTATATTGTGTGTATGTATGAATATGTAACAACAAATCCCATCATTATGTACAACTATAATGTACCAATAAAAAAATGTGGGGGCAAAAAGAATATGGATAACTCGTTCATTAAATTGACATGTGCCGCAGTCTGGCTGGGCACACAATCACGAGCCACCACACAGCTTGTAGATTCAAACAGCAACTCTTTT